GTCGGCGGAAACGGCGGTCAGAGAGCGGCGGGAAAGACGGCAGAGGAATACCTGAGCGGTTCGTCGAAACGGATGGTCGCGGCGCAGTTGAAGACCACGTGAACGGCGTCTTGGAGGGCGTGGCGGTCGAGAGGGTTGAGTCCGAGCTCTTCGTGAGTGACGTCACCGCAAACGGCGACCACTTTCGCGAGCTGTTGGCCATCGAGACGACGAATGGCGTCAAAGACGGAGTTCGCCAGCAATTGCTTCAAACGCTTTTCGGCCGTTTGTCCGCTCTTTGGCCGCAACAACAAGAAGACAGTCTTCACGTCGGGAACCGATCGCAGGATCTTCTCGACGAGGGCTTTGCCCACAAATCCCGTTCCGCCGGTAATTAACACGCATTTGTCGGACAAAAAAGCGCTCAAATCGGAAGACATTTCAGTTTTTGGGAGTTTTTCGCTCAAAAAACCTGTTTTTCGTGAACTCTTGACACGAATTGTAAATAAATTCTCACAAAAAGTACGAAATCTTTGCGTAAATTCTGTTTATTTCTACACTTTTGAACACACTTTCGGAGATTGACTACAATTAAAGGGGAATTTGCGGCGGTTTAGGGATTTCGGGGAATTCTCCGACTTCTTCTCCATAATAAGCCATTCGTTTCCAATGCATTAAATTGTATTCCCATTTGTCCTCCAAAGGCGTCAACCGCACCCCCAATTCCTCGATGCCCTTCACGCCCGGCGTCCGAACGTCCGAAACGGCCTCCTATGGGATAAGCCGTTAATCCTTTGATCCGTTAATCCGAGAAATACTAAACTCTTTCCAACTTCTCGAACGAAACGTTTGGGTATTTGTAGAGCCATTTGGGGTTCGAGAAGATGAAGATGCGCGCCAACAATAGGGGCGCCCACCGGATGTTCGTCACGTTAAAGCCGTCTTCCGGCGTCTTCTGGATTATGCGCTGAATGTACTCCACGAGAGCGCGCATTGTGTACCGGCGCGGACTAAGGGAGTCATGAGAGCCAATGAGAGGACAGACAGACAGTAATAGAGGTTTACCCGAAGGCCTCGAAGAGCTGTCCGACGGCCTCGTCGTCCGAAAGCGCGTTCACTATGGCCTGCGCGACGTCTCCGACGAAAACGGGTTGTTTTTGGGTTTGAAAGCCGCCGTCAATGAGCGGAAGTCTTCCCAACTGTCGTCTTTGCCAGTGCGCGAAGTAATGCGGAAACGAGTCGTCCGCGCCGTGAATGTCCGTCGGGCGCACAATCGTCGCCGACGGGAACGCCTCTCTTACGGCCTCTTCGCCCGCGTGCTTTGACTGCAGCCATTTGGCGGCGCGTCCGAGAAAGCGCTTCTGCGGCTGCGCACTCGCGTTGGCCGCCGACAAGTGGACGAAGCGCTGGACTCCGGCCTCTTTGGACATCTGCGCGATGAGTCGCGCGCCGTCCTCGTGAACGGCGCGAAACGAGAAGTTATTGGTTTCCGTGTCTTTTCCGATCAGATTTATGACTGCCGTCGAGTACTTCACGCACCGGAACACACTCTCCGCGTCCTTCAGGTGGAAGTGCTGTCAAAGAGGGAACTGGAGGTCAGCGAAGGGTAAGGCGTCTGAGGGCTCACCCGGAAGAGGATTTGTCCCAAATCGCCGGCACACTTGAGGCGCTGGCAGTCGAGGAAATCGCCTCTGAAGGGAACGACGACTTGAGTCCCGGTTTTGGCCAATTTGTTGATCACATATCGGCCGACGAAACCTCCGCCGCCGAACACTGTCACCACCTGTCCGTTGAAAGACGACCGGCCGCCCGCCCCTCTGCGCAACTGTTGGGCGCGGATGTCGGGGTAGACGGCGGTCGACAGGAAGCGCTGCGAAGACAACAGAAGACTCTTCTTCGCGACTCTCATGGCATCCAATGTTTTCATCACAAGTCGTGACATCAGTCGTGACGTCATCTCGTTTTGGCGCGAAATTCAAACTCAAGTCAACGCAAGTGTTATCTCGAGATGTGATCAGCGATTGGTTTGTCTCCAGGCGAGCGCTGATTGGCTGTCAGTGTGTGACCTTCGGCTGCGGCCTTGAGTTGAGTCTTATTTACGAGAGATTTCCACAAATCG